AAATACAGGTCCAGGAAGCACAGAGAGTCCCAAACAAGATGAACCCCAAGAGGCCCACACCAAGACACATCATCATCAAAATGCAAAAGGTTCAAGACAAAGAGAGAATTTTAAAAGCAGCAAGAGAGCCCTGGCCAGTTTGGCTCAGAGGTTAGAGCATCAGCCTGTGGTTCAGAGAGACCCAGGTTCGGTTCCTGTTAAGGGCACGTACCTTGGTTGCAGTTTGGCCCTGGCCCTGGTTCGGTTGTGCAGGTGGCAGCCACTCGATATGTCCCTCTCTCTCTCCCTCCCACTCTATCTGAACAAAAAATGGAAGAATGTCCTCGGGTGAGGATAAAAAATAAATAAATAAATAAAAGCAGCAAGAGAAAAGCAGTTAGTTACCTACAAGGGAGCTCCCATAATACTGTCAGCTGATTTCTCAAGAGAAACTTTGCAGGTCAGAAGGGAGTGGCAAGAAATATTCACAATCAGGAAAAGCAAGAATCTACAACTAAGATTACTTTATCCTGCAAAGTTGTTATTTAGAATCGATGGACATATAAAGAGTTTCCCAGACAAGAAAAAACTAAAGTAGTTCATCACCACCAAACCATTATTATATGAAGGGTCTTCTTGAAGAAAAAGATAATACATATGAACAAACAAAATGGCAATAAATACATATCCAGTGACAACTGAATCTACAAACAACAAACAAGCAGAACAGAAACATTCTCGTAAACATAGAGAACATTTTGTTGGCTGCCAGATGGGAGAGGGGTTGGGGCAATGAATGAAAAAGGTGAAGGGATTAAGAAGTACAAATTATCCCTGGTTGGTTTCGCTCAGCAGTTAGAGCGTTGGCCCGCGGACCAGAGAGTCCCAGGTTTGGTTGCCGCTAGGAGCATATACCAAAAAAAAAAGTACAAATTGGTTGTTAGACTGACAAACCTCAAAGGGAAGGGGGGTGGGGGGAGAAATAAACCGAAGAACTTATATGCATATATGCATAGCCAATGAACACAGATAGCAGTGTGGGGAAGGCAGGAGGGGGGTGGGAGCGGGGAGGAGGGAGTCAATAGGGGAAAAAAGACGAACATCTGTAATGCATTCAACAATAAAAATAAGTTTAAAAGAAAGGACAAAAAAAAGAAATGAATCAAATGTATTTGACTAATATTGGAAATATATTAAAGTCCAACCCAAACGTCATAAGTGTGAAAGACTCCTTTTCTCTGGTGCTTTATTGATGAAAAAGCATCCAGTTTTGGTGCCAAAAGGACTTGGTTTAAAATTCTAGCATTGCTATTTACTAGCCATGTGAACTTGGACCAATACTTAACCTACTGTACTTCAATTCTTACACATTGTGAATAATTGTGTGTGCCTGGAGGGTGATTGTAAGATCATAGGTGATAGAGTATGTAAAGCATTTTGACATACTGTGGTAGGATTTGTAGTAATTCCCCTTCTCCTTCCCCATCTCTAGTCTTAGGCAGGGTAACTAAATCTGGCTGCTGGAGAGGTGACCTAGCCATGCAGCTTTCCCCTGGGAGAAGGAGCTCACAGAGGGGAGATCTTAGCATGGTAATTGCCAGCCCTCCCAGGATACATTTTTCTAGCACTGCGTTTTTCAGTGACATGAAAAAAATCCTGGCATAAAGATAATCTTATTATAGATTTTAGCATCTCGTAGCCTTTTCATGCATGGAGCAGTTCCTATAAAGATATATCAGTAGACTGACTTGAGGTTCCTGGTGAAATGAGTTATTAATATCAGCAGCAGGATTGATCTCATACAAGGGAACCCCGAGACTTGTATTGGGAAATTTACCATGTTCCCATGGGAAAACAACTTGAGATGGGCCATTGTAGAGGAAGGAGCTAAGATGGTGGTCAGGTTGGCAGCATATTAGGTGTGAGGGTGACTGGTACTTTTGTAACAATTTTAGAACTGTTTCCAATGGATATTTGTAGTAAACAAGTTCTTGCTGCCTTTCCGAGTTCTTGTTACTGTCTCTGTTACCCTTCTCTTATTCCAGACCTGTTTCTCCCATGCCTGGAAGTTTCTTGACTCTTGGAGCCTAAACAGTCCCTCCCCTAAATATGCCTGGAGCTTTATGATGCTCTACAAGGACTGAATATAATATTATGCATTGCCAGTAAGTCATACTTTCAACAAACTGCTACAGCCTGTAGATTGTTTCAGTTTTATGTTTTAGATCATGAAAAACTTAAATGCTTCACTTAGTTAAGTTACAAATTTTATACAAAATGCTTGCATTAAAAAGAGATTCTGGCACTACAGCTGAGTTTGGTCTGGCTTTCATAGCAACATTTCTAAAATAGGGGGACTTGAGAATGACCTTCCAGAACCGCTTTGTATTTTCCATGTTTGTTCCATTTCTGTGTCGTGGCCAAACATGAAAAGGTATTGGAAATTTGAGTCCTTCTAGTCAAAGGCTTTTCTTTACACGTTAGAATTCCCACTTTTTAAAGGGCCTCCCCTCCTCTGTCCACAAAGTTCCCAGTTATAGCACTCTCATGTGACATGGCAGAGTAAGCAAGCCACGTGGCCACACCTACCTCAAGGAGGGTAGATGACTGCAGTCCTGATATGTCTCCATAAGGCAAAGAGCCCGTGAACAGCCCTCATGATTCTGGGGTTCTCATTTGTGGTCACAAGATGTTCTCTCTTCCTGCTGTAGGCCAAAGGACTTCACCCCTCCCCAAGGGCAGTAACCCAAATTGCCCCATTCAGTCATAGCATCATGCTCAAGGTCAGGTTCAGTATTTCTTCATCAGGTCCAGACGTGGCACCTTTTGGTCTGGAGACTTCATGAACTAAAAAGACCAGTAGTCTGTTCCTTCTGGACTAACTGACCAAACCTCTCCCATTCACAAAGGGAAGGAATGGGAAATAATATAGCAGTCACAGACTGGTAGCAATTCTGAAATCCCATTGAGTAGGCATTTTGGGGGACCCCCGCCTTGGGTTGAAGAATGTTCATTAATGATGTCCAGATTCTGCTTCCTGGAAGAGCCCCCCACCTGAGTCCGCTGTTCTCCATATCCATTGGCTCCACTCTCTGAGAGTTTCTTCCTTTTCTGGTACCTTCTTGGCTCCCACTGAAGTTGACACTGGAGAACATGCATTCCTTGGGGGCTGAGCTGTTGTCTCCGGCAGCCTCCTGTCTGTAGGGTTGTGGTTCTCTTTTAATCCAGACTGGTGGTTATTTTGGCAGTACAACTGTCAAAAATTTTGCTCACTTCTTATCTGATTCTAGTCAACTTCAGGTATCAATAGCCAGACCTGCAATTTTGGCTAGATATGTCTCTTAGGTTTTCTATATGTCTCACCTTTCTTTACCCCTACGTGGCTGCCTTCCTTCTTTATTTGTTTGAGAGTATCTTTCCTCTACCAGCTTTCAGTTGGAGACCTACCCCCTTTGTCTCTTCTTCCTGAACCATATATTCTAAAGTGAAAGAAGGACCGAGTGCCCCATTAATCCGCACAGAGCTTTTAATGTCAGGTGTGATGGCCATACCCTTGGTTTGATCCTTAGCTGAGGTTGAGTTTTAATCAGCTTTTGTTCCTTCAAAGGCCTTCTTTGTTTTATTTTTAACCATTTGGGGTTGAGAAGTTAGTTGCCTCTTCTAGTCTTTTAAGTCTGAACTTGAACTCTATTTTCTTACATTCCTGATATAAACCAACCAATTATTTTCTTGATATCATTTCTTTCTTGCAGGGGTTTCTTTTATCTTACCCATCTATTTTTTTTTTTTTTTTTTTACCCCATTCCTTGTCTTTTCATCTTTTCCTTTTTCATCTGATCTTGTTTTTCACCAGTTTCACAGAGGCCATGTCTCCTGTACTCTATTGAGGTGCCAAACTGTTTCCAGACCTTTCTTTTGAATCCATCACTATAGCCAGCAAGCTCTTTCTCTGAGGATTTCAGAAGCTGTTCCTTTCTGCTACTGGAACTTTTTTTTTCACCTGGCTTTTATTTTTCTTCTCCATTTTTTATTCCTTTAATAAGTGAAACCTGCCGGACGTGTTTTCTAACAACAAATAGGCTCCGTTACCATCTACTTGGATCTACAGCTCAGGGCCGGTCGACCTACACAAATCCCAGTTCATTTCTCAGTTTCTAGAAGGCTTCTACTCAGATAAAATCTTTACTAACCCCCCTGCTTGATTTTCTGGTTTTGGTGGAATATATAAAAACAAAAATGTGGAGCATCTTTGACCACCAGGATGATCCCCCCCCCCCTTTTTTTGCTGTCTGTTACACACGGCTTTGTTTATGGGGACTGTCCTCAGAGCGTAATGTGTCCTTGCAAGTTCCCTTAAAGTTCCTTCCCAGTTGTTTTCTAGGAATTGCTGGCCTGCCTGAGTGTGCAAGAGGGGAGGGGGAAGAAGAGGGGTGTGTGTGTGTGGTTTGGGGGTGGCGCACAGCAGTCTCACCAACACAAAGATCTGCACTGATGGGAATTTAAAGCTGGCTGCAGCTTTACAGTGGGGGCAATTCTTGAGTGTCTGAATCAGATAACCGGCTGGAGAGGATGTTTGAAGTGCCTCCTTTTTTTCAGGCGGTCTCAGTTTTATGAGCCTGAAGCTAGTTATGGCATGACAGGTGTTTTGTTTCTTTAAATCTTCCTTTCCTCAATCAAGTGTATGATTTATATTTATGTTCGGTGAGATTGTTCCAGGTTCTGGTGCCATCTGTTGATTTTAGTGTCACATGGATCGATTTCTTGGGGTTTTTCCTGCATGTTCAGAAATGGAGAGGTTACATGATTCAAGGCACACATGATTTAACCCTGGAAGTCCATGCACCTTCATTTCTGGCTTTGTCTCCGGACACCTGGAGAGGAGGGCTTGTGTTTGTAAAGTCTGGTAATAGAATTCTTAAAAAGTAGTTATTGTGATGTCTTTATATCTGGCCTTTTACTAGAAAGGGTGGGAGTTGCACAGTTTCTTTGAAGTTTGACATGAGATAGTGTTTCTGTTTCAGATCCCAGCGGCAGCCATGTTTCACTTCTTCAGGAAGCCTCTGGAACCGAAAAAGCCCTCAGTGCCAGAGACGGAAGCGGACGGATTTGTCCTTTTAGGTGAGTCTCTTTAAGGAACGAAATCATAATCACGTGGATTATTCGTCTTTGAAAAAATTCCTTGAAAATTATAGGATTGATTTTTTGGAAAAATTCTCTCCCAGTAATTCCAGTATTAATTTATATGAAATCTATAAAGTTCATTAATCACTTAGAATATTGTCATCAAGTCAGACTCTTCTTACATATTGGTTTGGCTGGGTCCTGCAAATTAAATTTGTAAGATTATCCTGTATTTTTCTCTCTGATATGCTGGTCAGCCTTTTCAATTGTGAAAAACCAAAAGTCTTGAAGAATCCTTGATGATTTCAAGTTCTGTCTTATAAATAGAAAACTTTGCTTCTTAAATTAGCATCTTCAATTAAATTAGGCATCTGATAGATAAATATTTGCTGAATGCAGTGCACTTTTCAATCTTGTATTAGTTTCTCCTAAATGTTTAAGCTTAGTTTATTTCCTATTATAACATTAATTCTACTAATTATTAAGATTTTAGTGGTTTTGCCCTGGCTGGTTTTGTTCAGTGGTTAGAGCGTCAGCCTGCAGTCCAGAGAGACCCAGGTTCGGTTCCCGCTAAGGGCACGTACCTCGGTTGCAGTTTGTCCCCAGCCCTGGTTGGGTTGTGTGGGTGGCAGCCACTCAATGTATCCCTTTCACGTGATGTTTCTCTCTCTCTCTCTCTCTCTCTCTCTCTCTCTCTCTTTCTCTCTCTCTCCCTCCCTCCCACTCTGTCTGAGCAATAAATGGAAAAATGTCCTTGGTTGAGGATAAAAATAAAAAGATTTTAGTGGTTTTAAAAAATATTGCTTTCAACCAGATGCTGTGCTTTTTCCAAAGGGAATTTAAACAAAAATAACATTTCCTTCATGTCATTGTGTCTTTCCCTGAGGAGGAGCTGTGTCTCTTGATGAAGAGGCAACAAAACCCAGTTTCTCCTGTGGCCCCATCCTCCTCCACCCAAGACTCTTCCACCCGGGACTCCTCCACTCGGGACTCCTCCACCCAGGACTCCTCTACCCGGGACCTCCTCCCACCAGATTCGGGCTCCTCAGAGGATTTGCATGAACTCATAGGGTGTTTACTCCCTGGGGTGTTTCTCAGGTGTCTCCCCACCGGTTTCCTACCTCTTCCTTTATGCTGGCCCAGTGAGACTAGGGTCCCCGGGCATCGGGAGGATTTAAGGGTGATCCTGAGTTTCCCGCTCAGACGCTCGGGGCCAGGCTCACACGTGCCTCTGACTCCGCACACTCACAAGTGTGGTGGGTGGGTCTCTGCCTCTTCAGCCTTTGTCTTTAGGGTCTGGCCTCTGGCAGAGAGGACACAGAGGTTTCATCTCTCTGGCCCTCTTCCAGTCCTTGGCCTTAACCTCTGGGAGATTAGTATAGATTTTTTCACAGCTGAATGTCGCCACAGAATATCCCATCTTTCCCACGCTGGCGGGCCCGTGTGGTTTTCTGAATCTGCCTCACGTGGCCTGGGACGGGGGCAGTAGCTGGGGTGCTCAGAGTTGTTTTTCTCTCTGACCAGATCCTCTATCCCTGAGGTAAAGTAGTGGGGCACAGTCTGACGAGGGCCAGTGATCTTCCTGGGGAGCCTTCTGACTGGGCTAAAGTGGGGGTGCCTGGACACCACTGCTTATCTGGCCTTTCTTAGCACGTCAGGAAGTAGTGCGCTGGCTTCGAAGTCAGAACTGGCTCTGTCAGCCTCAACTTCCTTCTGGTCCTTGAACGCTGCCAAGGCTGCTTCCCTTTCCCTCAATGAATCAGCCTCATTGACAGAACTGCAGGGATGTAGCAGGTCTCCTGTGAAGTGTGCAGTTTCTTCCCAGAGTTTCACAATAAATTCTTCTCTCAGAAATTTGCTTCAACAAAGCCCGAATTTTCCTAACTTTGTTCTACATTCTTAATTTTAGAATACCTCTGTAGTCTTAACATAGGCAGAGAAACTTGATTTTTTTCCTGTTGTTTCATGATTAGAAATCAACATTATTCTTTTTGTTACCAAGCAGCTAAAGGATGTAAGTTTAGTGTATAGAGAATTAAATAGACATAAGACAGATTAACAGGAGAAAAGCATACAGATATTCACATGTCCATGGCAGCCCTCATAGAAAAGTAAAGACCAAAAGAAGTGGTAAACCCAAAGTGACTAAAATATGCGGGGAGACTAATGGAGGATAACAGCTACCCTAACAAGGTCTGTCTCTATAGATCTCTTGGCCCCGACTCCCCATCTCTGGGGATAAGAATGTCTCTTTCCTCCTGGCATTTTCATATGGGGGTTTTAGCTCTTGCTTTCAGTTCAAAAGTGTCCTTATGCCAAAGTGGCATATTTTAGGGTGGTGTATCTGCCACCCTTCACCATTTTGGGCAAGTTAATGTAACCTCCCAGGTGTCATTTAGCTTATCTAGAGAATGAGCATGAAAACAGTACCCACGCTGATAGGTTATTGAGGGAATTAAATGAGCTGATGTGTGTAAAATGCTTAGAACAGCCCTGTGAGTGAAGTGGTGGTATTATATCTCCACTTATTGGAGGACTTAACTTTTCCAAGTTCCTCCAGTGAATATAGCAGATGTGGAATTAGCCCAGGTGGTCTGACTTCAGAGCCTGCCTCCTACCCTCTTAAACACTAAGCTATCCATTTTTTAAAATATCATAGTATCATTTTTAATTTTCAGACAATATTGAAATTTTAAGATTTTAAAAATAATTTAAATTGTGCTCATTACTGTTGAAAAGGGAAAGTGCTGATTTTTTTGTTTTCATAAAACAGGGTTGGTATATGACTGTTCATAAAGTTTGGTTTTAATTTTGGCTACCTCCAAATCTTCATTATTTAATATTTCATATATATAAAAATATTGTGGAAATCTATAATTTTCTTAATGAAGTTGAGATTGGAAGGTGGTATACATTGTTTAGTCAGTAAAATATCCTTTAACAGTGAAGGACTTAACTGAATTGACTGATAAAAGTCAGGAGAGATTATTAGGAATATCCTTAATTGTCTTTAAAATTAGAATGGTAACATCTTTTTTTTTTTGGTACGTGCCCCTAGCAGGAACCGAACCCAGGACTCTCTGGTCTGCAGGCCAATGCTCCAACCACTGAGCCAATCCAGCCAGGGTGATAACATCTTTTCTTAAAAAACTGGTTAGTTCTGCTGAGTTGCTCTTTTTATCATATGGTTCTATATTGACATATATTTCTACTTTAGTCTCAGAGCATACCATGGAAAATATTTTGGAAAATGTCAAATAGGACAAATGGTAGATATGAAATGCTATTATTAACGTGCCCCCATACTTACACACCTGTACTTTGGTTGTCATGTGTTCGCATAACTTTCTTTGTCCTCATGTGTAATAGATAACATTGCAAGAAAATAAATGTATATGATTGGCTTTGTGTGTTTATCTGTTAACTTCTAAATAAGGCAACTAATTAAAGACTTAGAAACATGATTATATTTATGGCAACAACTTATCAATATGTGGTCTACAGAATTTTTTAGAATATCATCTTATGTGGCCTTTATAACCTATTTCTAACAAGGTCAGAATAAATTATGTTAAAAGAATATACTATCTAATTTTTCACACTTGAGAATACTTTTTCCCTTCGGCAAGCCTCTCTGCTTAACACAAATAGGTTTTAGGTCGCAATTATTGGATGGCATTGCTGAGTTGCTAAGGCCAACAACCCGTGACTTGAAATTCAGGGTCAGTCAAAGCCTAGGCACTTTTGTTGATAATAGGAATATCTGGGCTGTTCATATACAATTAGCTCACTTTTGGATGGAAAGCTTTTTTCTGTTAAGGTTTCCAAAGTTTTCAGCCTTTGTAAAATGTTGAGTGTGCTGAATGAGAATAAGGAGAAAAATAAAAGGCCTGGTAGAAAAACATCCTTTCCCTTGTAACCAGTTCCTATTCACATAAGAAGGTAATAGCTATTCATTCATTCAGTAATGAAGTTGAAGTAATCCTCCAGGGTACTCATTTTACACAAAAACAAATTGCAGTTTTCATTTGCATCACTGGGTGGCGATTTTTCTTAGTTTGCACTGCTGTTTAAAACCCCAGCAAGTATGGTGCTATTCGTAATCACCAGGGTTTTCTTCTGTTATGACATGTTTAATTGTGCTTTTAAGACGTTATCTTTTAAGTTGATTACAAATTTGCTACTGTAGTGTGCAACCTCATAGTTATTTTAAATTAGGAAAAAGGGGTATCTGTTGCCTAGATGTTGGCATATAATTCCTTCCAAAACTAAGACAAAAGCATAAATTAGTTTAATATGCTATAGTTAAGCGAAGGAAACATAACAGCAATGACCCCCCCTCCCCCGCCACAGAATACAAAATGAAAAGGAATAATTTAGATTACTGTTTTGTTCAGTGACACTGTTGGCCAGATGTTGAATATAACTTTGGAGCAAGCAGAATGAATTGGGCAAACACAGTTTCAGAGATTAAAGGAATTGGGTTACAGTTCAACTGAAATTCATCATGTTTTTCATAATCTGCAGGTGCTTCTTAAAGTAGGGCTAAGAACTGCTAGTTTCCATTAAGCTAATTAGTTTGTAAAACTCATTGAATTTAGAATCAGTGTAGTAATTCACAGCAGCTTGGATGTCATCTTTTAATTATTGATATTGAAATATGTAATTTAGTCTCCCCTTCTGTTTTCCGGTTTAAATGATAAATCAAATTTTGAAAAGTATGGGTTATTTTTAAGATGGTCTCTTCCTGAATTCCTCATCCTGAGAATCATTCAAACCATGCACACACACTAAAGTTAAACTATCATGTTTTTATATGGAACTTTTTATGTAATCTTTTCATCCTTGTATTTGTTCCTTTATTTAGAAGTAGAACTTAATTGTGTACAGTAAAAATTTACATTCCAAGGATGAGGGACAGTAAGTCACTTTGATCATGTGTAAGACTGAAGGCTTTAATTAGAACGACAAAAACTAAACAGATTTTTAGCACATGC